ACACACACACACAGACACACACACACAGAGACACAGACACACAGACACACACACACACACACAGACACACACAGACACACATACAAACAGACACACACACACATACACACAGACACACAGACACACAGACACACACACACACACAAACAGACACACACACATACACACACACCCATGAACAAATGCATACATATGCCATACACATGTACACATTCATACATATGTACAATAACCCCAAACAGCATATAAATCTCTCAGAATTCCTGTATTTTCTGTAAAATCAACTCATCATTCAACTATTCCAGGGAAATTCTGGCACTACTAGACTCGGGGGTAATTTTACTCAGAGTACTCAGCTTCCTCCTTGACAATCGGTGATATTCTTTTTTTATTTTCTTTTTTTAAGTTATTTTTTATTTTCCATACCAACACAAGTTCCCTCTCCCTTCCCTTCTCCTATCCTACTTCACTTCCCCTCTTCCCACCCCTATGCACCCCTCAGAGGGGGCAAGGCCTTCCTCAGGGAGTCAACAAAGTCTGCATACCAAGTTGAGGCAGGACTAAGCCCCTCCCCCGTCTCTCAGGGCTGAGCAAGGTATCCCACCATAGGGAATGGGCTCCAAAAAGCCAGTTCATGCACCTGGGATAGGTCCTGGTGCCACCGTCAGCCCCCCTCCCCCCTCACAACAGATCAAGCCACATAACTGTCACTCACATTCAGAGGGTCTAGTTCGGCCTCATGCAGGATCCCCAGCTGTCAGCCCATAGTCTGTGAGCTCTCACTATCTCTGGTCAGCTGTCTCTGTGGTTTCCCTATCATGATCTTGACTCCCTTGTTAATGTGATCCCTCCTCCCTCTCTTCAACTGAACGTCAGGAGCTCAGCCCAGGGCTTGGCTGTGGACCACTGCATCTGCTTCCATCAGTTACTGGATGTAGGTGCTAAGATGACAATTACTGGATTGTAGAAAGGAGAAGGTTGTCCTCAGACCTCTGAGGTTATGCTGTGATTCCTCTACAGGTCTTGCTGCCTCTCGACAACCCCTATGGCAAAATTACTGGGACTGTCAGGAAGAAGCTGCCTTCAAGGCTGTGACATTATGGTTCCTGTCAGTTGTGACGCTGGGGACCACTGTGTGTTTCCCTGCAGAAAATCTCAACTTAGGATACTGATTGCTTTCTTCTGTATGAAGCAATTTCTCTCTTTGTTCCTAAACAAGGCATTTTATGGATCCCCATATTAGTGGGTACAACATTCTCATGGCTGTGGGCAGTTTCCCTAAAAATCCCTCTGCAGTGTTAGAAGAATCACAGAGGTACTTATCCTTGATGCCCTGGTGTCCTTCTGCCTTACAATCAGTCTTTAGAATCTGATCATCATGAAAACAATCATGAAGTAGTAGTGGGTGGCACATGGATGAATCTGAGCCCAAGTTTAAGAAGCAAACAGGGTTGTCAATCACCTGATGTGCCTGGGTGGTGCGGAAAATACAATAAAATCATGTGAAAAGAACACCACAGTGACTTCAACTGATTTGTTTTTGAAAACTCTGGCATTCAGACAAAAGCTCACTACAGAGGAGGGCAGGTGGGCAGGAAACTCTGCACCTAGCTGAGAAACTCAGCATTTGTTTGCTGTTGGAAGAGGGGAGGTCAGTTTTGCTTTAGGGTGTGGCACCAAGTATGACAACCATACTTCAGGGACATTTCCATACCCAGAAGTAGTCAGATGAAACCCAAACTGGCCTTAAAAAGAGAGAGAGGAAGAGGGAGAGGAAGAGAGAGAGGGAGAGGGAGAGGGAGAGGGAGAGGGAGAGGGAG